GTGTATTTCTTCTTTCAATAGGGATATGATTTCTAGTCTTTTCTCCTTCTGTTCCCCGGTCGTCACGACGTGCTCTCAATTATTGCATCTTAGCTTAATAGATTGATGGTTCTAAAAGCTCGTAACAATCACATACAACCCCTTAGTTTTCAAAATGTTTGATCCTTTTTCTCTTTCAATGTTGAGACGCGTAGCGCTCCTCGATTAAGAGTGTGTAATTAGGAGGGGAGTAAAGACTGATACACAGCACGGCTGGGCATACAAAAAACAGGTCCAAAGCCAAAAGCTGAATGCTCTTCCAAAGAAAAAGAAGATAACAAAACATGAAGGTATGAAGAAAATTGTCCCCCAGGGTCCCTTTCACCTTGCCACTAGTGCAAAGTGTTGTAGTACGTCCTTGCCATTAGAGCATCAAGCTGGCGACGACACCAGCAATGACGAGAGCAACACCCGAACGAGCAGAGACGCTCGAGGCACCACCAGTAGAAGCGGTGGACGAAGTGGATGGAGAGGTACCAGTGGCAGTTCCAGTTTGGCTGACGGCAGAGCTCGATCCGCTGCCAGTGGTGGGGGTGAAGGGAGCAGTGACACCATATCCGGGCTCATTAGCGTTGGGAACGCTAGCAGCGAAGGCCGCAAAGGTCCTTTCGCCAGTGGCTGGGGGATTGATGGCACCGTACATACCGCCCTTGCAGTGCTGAAAAAAGAAATTGCCAAGAGTCAGCCACCGGCTAAATCGCGCGACCGACATGATCGTAAACTTACAGGTTTCCTGGCACAGAAGAACCAGATGGGGTTGGCCGTCTGGGTAACCTCGAGGGTGAAGACACCGATTTGCCCGGAGGCAGCATCGTATGGCATAAAGCCAGAGTCGAAACCGTTTGACTGGCTGACAGTGTTGAATTGTTGGGTGCAGGGATCTACAAAGCAGGCGGACACGCGGTCAGTTATGCGCTAGTTCATCGCCACCCGAAGAAAGGAGGACGTACTGGCAAAGCTGCTCTGAGTGACGGTGTGGTTACCACCGCGGAACTCAAAGTTGACAAAATCGCCAACGGCAGCGTTGACGACTTGTGGGTTGAAGATGAGACCTGCAGCACCAGTGCTGTCGACACCGACGGTGACAGTGATGTTGGCGGCAAGGGAGGGGAGGGCACCAGCGAGAGCGGCGAGAGCAGCGAGAGCAGCAGCAGCGAACTTCATGTTTGGTATTTTAAAGAAAGAGATTCAGAAAAGTGAAAATTGACGATGAAGCTGTTGTGTGAAAGAAAGTAGGTGGCTGAGGAAACTAGTGGGGGGAACCGTCAGTACGCCTCGCGACCAGAGAGATAAGCGACGCGAAGAAGCAAACAGCACAAGCAAGGGCCAGTGCTGATGCGTCTGTCTCGTCGAGATCGATGAAAAGCTCTACTCACCCTGCTCAGGCGATGGGCACGAAAAGGAAACTGAAGAAGGCGGAGGCGGGGGGGGTTAAGGTGAGGAGGATAATGGGCGAGGGTCTTTGTATATGTAGCGAGGATTCAATCAGACCACCTGCCACCACTCGACTCTTTGTTGGCAACGGACAAAGGGGGGCCTCGAGTAGCCCGCTGAATGTCAAAGCAACCATCCTCGCTTGGCAATTCTTTGTCCGCATTAGGAAGTTATATCCAATATACCCATTTACATGGTAGATCTTGTCATCTCTTTTAGTGCAGCCGCTTCCTCCTTTCTCTGCTCCAATTCATGCTCGTCCCATTCGTCTTTCGCCTCGAGCCACCGTTCTTGCACGTCGCGTACATCGCCTCTGACACCTCCAATTGCACCTGCCGCAGTTGTAAATAACGAGTATATATTCGGTCTCTGCGTGACAGGTATCCCTTCTTTTTTGTCGTCTCGACTCGACTCCTTCTGGGTGGCGGCAACCGTCGACGGAGGCACAAAGATACAGCCGGTGGCACGGTCGACGATGCGCATCAGCCTTAGCATCGATTCTCGATCCTATTCATGGAAACGATCATTTTTTTTATCCCTTGGTGGGGCAATAAATAAATACGCACCTCTACGGCCAAAGTCTCGAATCCTACCAACCCGAAATCCTGGACCATCTCTGAGATTCTCATATTCAGAGCAGAGAATCTCGTTCCCTGGGGCAACGAATTCTCTAGATACGACAAGTCTTGCACTTCGGTGTAAAAATCTAGATTGAAATCTGGGTTACGGATCAACGGCTGTCAGTGACGAGTGGCGCTAGAAGGCGTACCCAGGTCACCGTATTGTGAGAGCAAATCGATTTTGGAGAGAACGTTTATGTGCGGCAACTCCAACTGGAGCATCGTCCGTAGCGAGAGCAACAGTACGGAAATGTACTTGGCAGCGTCCGTCACGTAATGTACATCACATAAATTAACTGCTGCGAGCTTTTGAAAGTGAGAATTCCTCCTGGTCGTGATTTGAACGGGCCACTCACCCTAAAGTCATTCTTGAGTAATCGGTCCACGATATTTTTGAGACTCTCGTGATTCGTGCTCAGTTCTACTTGACCTGGTAGATCAAACATTACGTATACTTCGTCGTTCTGACTTCCTCCGCCACCGAGCGCTTTTAGCTTTTCGAGCAACCAGTCAAAGTTTTGCTCTAGGTACTCTATACAGTAGAGCATTGCACCATTGGGACCTAGTCCAAATTCTTCCATTGCATCTTGCAATGTGATGAGTGATGAGATGGAAATCTCGCATGGGTAAGGCAAATTGTCGTTGGCTGGGTCCAGGTTCACGATGGCTATCGGTCGCTGAAGAGCGGTGAAGAGTTGGTATTTTCCATATGCGTACGTGGATTTACCAGCACCTGGTGCTCCTATAACGATCTCTCCGAAGGGCATTAACGTAGAGTAGGGGAAAGGATGACGATAGCTGTGGCTTAGTGGTCAGCCGCAGGCTAGATTAGATGAGCACTCAAATCTCAGAAATTCAATAGGCAACGGGCAATATGTCAAATCCACTGCGTCGTTCAAGACGTCTAGAAAAAAATACAATATGGGAATCTTCGAAGATCAATGTAATGAAACAGATAAAAGCTAGCTATTGATCGTAGAATGTGCATCGATAGGTGAGAAAAAGAAAGGTATGCAATCATTGCAATCAGGTGAAATGTTCATTGCCAGTGCATGATGATTTTGGAACTCCAGCTTATGCCGAGATAGCAGCGTTGAACGCATCAGCGACAGCTTGTCCGGTGAGACCAACAGTGGCGGCCTTGGCGGCCTCGCACTTGTCAATGGCAACTTGGTTGGCGTTGCACCTGTCCTTGACTTGGTCGCAGATGAACTGGGTGATGATGTTGGGGTTCAAAGCGGATCCGTGAACGAAAGATGGGGTGGCAGGGGCGAACGAGTTCTCCTTGCGGCCATCAAAGATGCCAAAGGCGATTTGGGGTGCCTCGCAGTTGTTGAAGTTGGCGGTGGAGACAGAGTCAGCCGATCCAACACCTCCACCGACGGCAGCTGGGACTTGAGCAAAGTTGGTCTCAATGCCGAGGGCAGCGTTGAACTGATCAGCCTTGGCACCTCCAGCGACGTTGGCAACAGCGACGATTGCGTTCCTGCAGGCGTCAACGGTTTCCTGAGGGGCCTGGCACCTATCGTTGAGGATGTTGCAGATGGCATTCAAAACGATTTGACTTTTTTGGCAACCATCAGTATCGGTCCCGAAGTCTACCAAATTGAGTGCTACTCACCCGTTCAAGGCACTGCTTTGGGCGAACTCGTTGCGGTTCTCAGGTTGGAAACTGAACTCTGCCAACTTGCGTCCATCGAAACCGGGGCCCTGTAAAGATTTTTTCCCATGAGTACCTTGTGGAATGAGGACAAAAGAGTGTGCCTTACGAATTCAACAGCAGGGTTAGTGCATTGACCAAAGGATAGAGTGCCGGAAACTTTGGTATCAGCACGGACACCGCTAGGGTCGGCCTCCTCAGCGGAGGTTGTAGCGGAGGCCTCAGTGGTAGCGGCAGCAGTCTCAGTGCTAGCAGCGCCAACGGTGACGGTGACAGTGGACGCTGGTGGGCAAGTGCCAGTGGCATCAACAGTTTCTTCCGCTGCGGCGGTGGTCGTGGCAGCGGGTTCTTCAACTGGCTCTGGATCCGCGGTGTCTTGGCCGCCTCCATTGTTGTTAGCACCTCCGAATGGGGCAGTATTTGCCTGGGCACCCCTGAGGACCGTGGCCTTCGTAACAGGGTCAAAGAAGAGTTCTAGAGAAACTAATAAGGAAATCGGCTATCATATATCATACGGTTTACTCACCAGGGTCATTGGCAGGGTCCTGGCCTTGAACCAACCTTTCTTCATCATGTTCATCAAATCATCTCTCGTCGCTTTGGCACTTGCTGCCTCCAGCTTTGGTCGTATCCTCATCATTGAGCGCGACGGTCGTGCTATCTATCCTCGTCGTTTTGGCCAGGAACAATGCGGTGGAATCGGTGGTCGTATCGGTTCCGCCTGTGCTGGTAATATCTGCGGTGTCTTGGGCGGTCGTGTCCCCGGCGCTTTGTTGGCAGGTGCTGGCGAGGGCG